CTTTCATCTCTGATTTCTTAGCAGGCACCACTGAACAGTGACAGCTGCAATATGTAACCTCATGACATGAGCCTGAGACACAGCCACCCTAAATACTCTGATTTACAGAATTATGATGACTGTGGGTTTCCATCTAATGAAGCCATAGATTCACGCTCTATCATCCCTCTCGTCGTCCATCAAATCCACAAAAAATCCAGGAGCACCCTTGTAAAAGTTAAATTCTTCTACTTTTAAGTCAAAAAAGGTGATACAAAACTAAATATTTTCCACTTACAAAATAATCAATATACAGAAAAGCAGAGATAGATAGATAGATAGATAGATAGAGAGAGAGAGAGAGAGAGAGAGGTAAAAAAACTCCATTCTCTCTGTTTGCCCGATTGGCTTAATTACCTCTTGGTAACGCCCCTAAACTCCCTTCACGTGGGATCATTAAGGGACCAAAATGTGTTCGAAAACATTCCAATCAATTGCAAATGGAAGTTACATATTTTAAATTATTACCACCCATTTTAAATCTAAAGAATCATACAATTAACCTTTTGCATTACTGTAAATATTTTAATTACTTAATAATCAATGAACTGTGTAATTTAACCACTATACTATACTCCACAATAATTGCTTTTAGGCTCCTACAATGACAGTAACAGAACCAAAAAAAAGTCAAAATAATGACAGCAACCCCTGCGATGTAGTTAATGACAATCACACACTCTCCTGGTTGTTTCAAGTTATCCTTCATTATGAGACTGTTAAGAGAGAGAATAGAGCAGACCCAACAAAGGCAAACACAAATTATTACTCCTCTCACAGTGATTTTGGTGGAGTAATGCAGAAGGTCACAAATGGCCACATAGTGGTCAACTAATATTAGCACCATGGTTTCTACTGAGGCAGAGGTAATAACGTATGCTGGATACTGAACCAGAGCACACATGAGGTCACCAAAGAACCAGCAGCCGTCTGTGAGGAGAATCTGAAAATAAATGACAAGGCCCACGAAGCCGTCTTTCACTGATTGAGCAGGTTTGTTGTCGTGCTCGGTTCAGTTGAACACTGTTTGTCCCAGCATCCTCTCAGGTTCTTTGCCGTGCCTGTCAAAGCTTTGCTGCAGATCCGGCTGAAATTCTGTCAGATGTTCCTTGACAATGACGATGAAATCTTATGAACCTTAAGGATTTAAATCAACTTTTGTGTTAACATTTGAACACTTTTTGGGGGGCTAAACATGCCTGAAAACTCATGAAACTTTGCACAAAATTCAGTCGTGGCAATCGCTAACGTTCATTTCGACTATTCTCCATGAAACAGATAGTAATCAACTTCCGTGTACATGGTCCAATCTTCACTGAACTTCACATATTCTGTAACAGTCCCACTCTGAACACGCCCTCTTAACTTCAGCATACATGGTCCAATCTCAATTAAATTTTCATAAGTTTGATAAGAGTCCTGCCCTGAACACGTCTATATGACAATATTCAGATATACCGTGAACGAAGCGGCCACCTATTGCTAACCAGGAAGTACAGGCTTGCATGGCGATTTTGATCTGATTTACGTGAAATTTTCATGTTGTGGTCCGCACGTGTTACGCCAGCACGTGACATGGCCACAGCACACCCCGAGTTGCGTGGAGTGCGAGGGCACGTTCATCGCTGCTTGCTGCTTTTAATTTTTAATGCAATAGTGTGCTGTTGCATCTTTCTGGAATTCTGAGTTTATGTGTGTCTGTGTGTGTGTGGGCTTTTGCCTTCAAGGGAGCTTGTGCAAGATGTGATATTACTCTCTAAAGCAGTAAGTATTTTTGGTGCTGAGTTTGCGACACACCCGGGCTTTGCATGTGTCAGAGCTTTTCCCTGGAGGTAAAATTCAACAATACTCATAATAGAACTGTCAAACTCTATCTTGCCCAGTTGCATTCCGGACCAGATCTCCTGTTTCAAACTGAACATTTGAGCTTTAGGATGTTTTCTTTTGTCCTTTTTTTTTTCACAGACCACATGTCGAACCAGTTATAGTGCGTTCACACGTAATGTGTATTTGAAACTAAATATAGATACAACACAGACTTTCTATTCAGAACCAAAGAAATGCTGACTAATCTGACCCTGAACCCAAACTCTATCAAACAATTACTAATTAATATGTTGGCAGATTATTACATGATAGCCATGTCAATACTATAACTATGCTGTATTATATGTTATAAGATTTTCATTAAATATAAGCCTCTTTAAGCTGTGTTTCTTCCAGATAAGTTGCAATAAATAATAAATAAATGACAGATTTTAACATTTTAACATTTTAAGCCAAATAAGTCAGCAATAAGTAGCTGTCTCCTTCAAAATGTGCAGTATTTTATAATGACGGTAATCAGGCATTGATAAGTTTGACACCTAGCATTGTCAAGCTGTAATCACATTCTGCATCAGTAGCTGTCAGTTAATTACAGAGTATTTAAAAATAGGAATTTTCCATGACAGAAGCCAGTTTGGGAAGACAAAAGGTCAAAAGAATACATGAGAATGTCTGCTGGAGAGTAAACAAGATTGTACACACACATATATAGATGGAGACGAAGAGAGTGCTAAAGTATCCGGTGATACTTCTCAAACATAGTGTCCCTGGTGTCCTACAATTCGTCCAGAGGGTAAGAAAACCTGCAAACATTTTTGAATTATTCTGACAATAACATTTTAGGGTTCTTTTGCGGTTAGAAATATTCTTACTCCACTGGGAAAATAAACATTCCTGAATATGTTTTGCCACATTATTAATAGTCTTCCTGCAGAAGAAGTGATCTTTGCATCTTTACAAATGACCTGCTACATTTCGGTCATCAAAGACATAGCTGTTAAATAAATTCACTACTCATGATGACAGTGTACTGCAGCTGATTTCTTATGTTCCGATATAAGTGAGGTGTAGGCAAGTGTGGGGTTGTTGGTTCGCTCCCCGTCTCCTCCCGCCACATGTCGAAGTGTCCTTGAGCAAGTTACTGAACCCCGAATTGCTCCCAAATGCTGTGCATCGGTGTGTGAATGTCTATGAATGAGTGAGTCTCCGTTTTAATGGGCTTTGCCATCACTTAGTGAATGTGTGTGAAAGGGTGAACATTGGTCAGAAGACTAGAAAGGTGCTGTACAAGTACAGGTTAATTTACCATTAAAAAGCTGTGATAGAATTGTGGGTCATATATCTCTCCCCCCTGATACACAGAACATGATACAGTTATGCCAGTTGGAACTGTATTCCTGGACAATGACAGCTTTCTCCTGGCATGAATATCACCTGACGTCACTC